GCCTCCCGGGTTCAAGTGATTCCCATGCCTCAGCCTCCCAAGTAGCTGGGATTACAGGTATGCACTATCATGACTGGCTAATTTTTGTATTTTTAGTAGAGACAGGGTTTCACGATTTTGGTCAGGCTTGTCTTGAACTCCTGCCCTCAAGTGATCCTCCAACCTCAGCCTCCCAAAGTGCTGGGATTACAGGCATACGCCACTGTACTCAGCCTTATCCATTTTTTATTTTCCGTGGATCCCTTAGGCAATCTGGTGAAGCCTGTGATTCTTCTTCAAACAATATTTTAAAATGCAGAAAATAAAATCCATAGGATTATAAACAGAACCAACTATTTTGAAATAAATATATCAAAATATTAAACATCAAATCCATGAAGTAGAAATGTAAAAGCTTCTTTATCCAGGTATTGAATAGCAAGATCACTACTCTTATACTTTAGGGCCTTTGTTTTTTTTGAGACTGAGTCTCATTCTGTCGCCCAGGCTAGAGTGCAGTGGTGCAATCTCAGCTCACTACTGTAACCTCTGCCTCTCAGGTTCAAGTAATTCTCATGCCTCAGCCTCCCAGTTAGCTGGAATTATAGGAACCTGCCACCACACCCAGCTAATTTTTGTACTTTTAGTAGATGGGTTTTGCCATGTTGGCCAGGCTGGTCTTGAATTCCTGACCTCAAGTGATCCACCTGCCTTGGCCTCCCAAAGTGCTAGGATTACAGGCATGAGCCACCATGCCCAGTCAGGGCCATTATTAAGTAAAATAAGTTTTCTTGAACACAAGCACTACAATACCAGGGAGTGGATCTGATAACCCAGGTGGCTACTAGGTGGCTAATGGGCAGGTGGTGTCTACAGTATGGACATGCTAGACTAAGGGATGATTCATGTCCTATGCGAGATGGAGCCAGACAGCGTGCAGGTTCATCACACTTCTCAGAAGAGTGCCCAATTTAAAACTTATGGATTGTTTATTTCTGGAATTTCCATTTGATATTTTTGAACTGTGGTTGACTTTGAGTAACTGCAACTGTGGACAAGGGCCTATCCTGTAATTGTTTTTTCTATTCCCATTCACAAACCTCAGATTTATCCCCAGACCCATGGGAGTCCATGGACCCCAGTTTAAGAAGCTCTGCCATGGGGTGGAATATTACCCAGTTGTCAAGAACCTGAACTTGGACAGCCTGGCTTCCAGTCCAGGCTCTGGCACTCACTTGTTCTGTGACCTCTGAGCAACAGTCTTCTCATCTGGAATGGGAGACAGCCCAACAGGCCCCCTCTGTTGTGAGGGTTAGAGAGGAGCTGTCTGCAGATTCCTTAGCACAGCGCTGGGAACCTGGTATGTGCTCAGTGGGTTCTTGTTCTAGTAACATGAAAATCAATCATATCCAGCTGCCTGTTTTGTGAACCAGGTTCTAGGCACAGAAGTGTTGTCCTGTCTCTGTTTCCTACAAGGCGGTGAGAATGCCTCAGCTACTTCATGACTCAGAGAGAGAGAGCTACAAAGGATGGGGCTAGATGAGGAGTAAGAAATGCAAGAACTGGCCAGCCCCAAATATTTGTTCCCAGGGGCTTACATGGGGCTTCTACATGGGTGGACACCCAGGCAGGACCTGCAGAGAAGTGGAGATGACTGATGAGATCTGATGTTGGAATTACAAGTATGTTTCCCCCTTTTTGCATGTTTCTTCAATAATCCTTACAGCTCCCCACCCCATTCCCTGCAGAATGAAGTCTATTCTTCTTAGAGAGGAATTTAAGGCCTTTTTTTTTTAAATCTAGGCCCTGCTTACCTTTCCAGCTCCATCGTGCAAATCTCCCTGGCACACACTCTCTACTTCTGCGAAAGGAAACTTCTAGCATGTCCCAGCACACCCCCAGTATTACCTGCTCTGGGCTTTTATTCACATCAGTCTCTCTGCCTGAGCATCCTCTTCCCTCCCCAGTCTACATCGTTCTCAGCCCATCCAGATGATCCCTTTCAGGAATCTCCTGGCTCTCATCTGAGCTCCCAGCTCTGCCTGCTAGGGTCCTGACTTCTCTCTGCAATACCCTAATCGACAACCAGTCACATGTCCTGGACCAAGAGAACACCCTTGAGAGCAGCGTCCATGAGTGCCTCAGATCTCCATTCACCCCCTACAGAGTGCCACACCCAGGAGATGCTCAGGAAAGGATGAATGAAGGGACCAACACACCCAAAACCTCTCCAAAGGACCCTAAAAGGCCAGGTACCTGCTGGCCCTGTAAGCCCAGGAATTCCTCCATCCAAGGGACCCCTTGACCATCGATTTGTTTACTTGCTCCTTCATAAATATTTACTGTGAGCTAACTGTGCCAGGCTCTGTTCTCGAGAACATGGCAAGTGAAAAAAACAGGTAAGGATCCTGGAACTTACCTTCTAATGAAGGGAGGAAATGTGTAAATAAAATAAAAGTAGAGAATATGTGGTATGTCAGACAGTTACAAGTTCTCAGGAGACAAGAGAAATAGAGAAGGGGGAGAGGGAGTCCCAGGGTACCCTCTAAAATAGTTGTTAAGGAAGGTAGTTAAGGAAACTTCACTGAGAAGATGACAAATATGTAAGTAAAGTCATAAAGGAGGTAAGGGAGACAGCCAGAGATCTGGGGGAGAAGCATTTCAGACAGCTGAAGCAGTCTATGAGTTTCTTTTTCAGACAGAGGAAGCAGTCTGTGAGTTTCTTGTTGGTGATGTAAAAAAATTATCACAAACTTAGTGGCTTAAAACAACAGAAATGTATTTTCTTACAGTTCTGGAGGCCAGATGTTTGAAATGAGTCTTCCAAAGCTAAAATCCAGGTATCAGCAGGGTGGTTCCCTCAGCAGACTCCAGAGGAAAAACCACTCCCTGCCTTTTCCAGCCTCCAGTGGCTGCTGGCATCCCCTAGCGTTCCTTGGCTTGTGGCTGCATCATTACGATTTCTGCTGCCATCATCACATGGACTTCTCTTCCGTAGTCAAATCTCCCTCTGCCTCCTCCTTACAAGGATGCTTGTGTTGACATTGGGCCCTCCTGGATAATCTAGGATAATCTCCTCATCTGGAGACCCTTATCTGCAAAATCCCTTCTGCCTTATAAGGGAAGATTCACAGGTTCCAGGGTGACAGAGGTTAGAGCGGGCAGGACCTTAGCCTTGGTCAGGGTTAACACTAGCTACTGCATCACTAATTCCTCCAAAATCTGAGAGACTTAAGAGGGTATTTCTTCTCACTTTCCAGCCTAGAAACTCTCAGATCCTCCAGGCCTCAGAGTGTTCCATGGGGTCTTCCATATTCATTTGACAAAGAGAGGAAAGAAACAGCAGGGGTCCCTCCAGAAATTTTAGGCCCCAGGGCTGGAAGGGATGGACATCATTTCTATCTGGTTTTCAGTAGCCCAAGTTAGTCATATGCCCCCTCACAGATACAAGGACGATAAGAAATATGGTCTTTTTTGTGTGCCCATGAGAAAAATGACATGGCTTGGTAAACCCGTAGGCTTTTCTTTGCCACAGCCCTGTAGGACATTGTAAGAATTTCAACTTTTACTTAAGGAAAATGGGAACCCTTAGAAAATGTTGAGCAGAAGAGTGACATGCTTTGACTTAAAGTTTTTTGAAAAAACACTCCCATGGAGTTTTTTTTCCATATGAAAATGTCCCATATCTTGATTGTGGTGGTGAACTTGACTGTTTACATTTTTCAGAACTCGTTAAACTGTGCACTTAAAACTGGTGAATTTTATTGCATGTAAATTACACCCCAATAAAGCTGATTTTTTAAGAAAAGGACCACAGGGACTGCTATTTTGAGAATAAATGGGGTTGGGGGGGGCAAGAACAAAATCAATGGGACTAGTTGGCAGGCTCTTGCGATAATCTTGGCCCAAGGTGGTAGTCGTGGGGGTGGCAGGAAGTTGGGTTTGGGGTATGTATGGTTTGCAGGTAGAAGCAAACAGGATTTGCTGACATGCAGATATAGGGAAGAGGGTTAAGGCACAGGTTGTAGACTCAGGCTTCACAGGACTGAATTGTGGCTCCCGCACTTACGATCTTGGGCAAATGACTTAATATCGCTAAGCCTTAGTTTTCTTCTCTGTGAAATAGGGATGATACTAGAAACAACTTCATAGGGTTGTTGGGAGGTTAAAATGAGACAATGTATAAAAAAATACTGAGCACAGGCCCTGGCATAAAATGAGGACTTGGGACATTTCAGTAGAGGCAATAGCTACCCTGGACTGAGTGATTACAGTAAGCCAAGCCATGTGTCCATTATTTCCATTTCTCTTCCCATGATGTGATGCCCAAAGAGCTGGTCTCCATGTTTTTCTGGTCCTGAACTGGAGTGACCACAGCTGGAGACTTTACTGACCAAAATGTGGGGTCAGAGTTCCCAGCTCAGTCCTCACAAGGTCCCCCCTTCAGAGAGGATACCTCCAGAGAGCTGACCTGCTAAAACGAGGGGCATAATTCAGGCCAATCCCCACCCCCCACGCTGCAATGAGGGCCAGAGCACTTCCTTGCAGGAAAATCACAATTTTACTACAAACTCTTACAGGTTTTTTTTGTTTTGTTTTTTTGAGACGGAGTCTTGCTCTGTCACCCAGGCTGGAGTGCAATGGCACCATCTCGGCTCACTACAACCTCCACCTCCTGGGTTCAAGAGATGCTTCTGCCTCAGCCTCCTAAGTAGTTGGGGTTACAGGCCCGTGCCACCATGCCCAGCTGAGTTTTGTATTTTTATTGGAGATGGGGATTTCACCATGTTGGTCAGGCTGGTCTAGAATTCCTGACCTTATGATCCACCTGCCTCGGCCTCGGCCTCCCAAAGTGCTGGGATTACAGGTATGAGCCACTGCGCCCAGCCAAAGTTTTTTTTAAAAAAGAAACTGCAGAAGGCAGTGGGAACTTGTCACTTCAATTGCTTGAACAAGCCCCTCTCACTCTTTGTTTCTTAGCAATCCCTAGATTATCTGGAAATCGCTAAGGAAGAGGCAGGAATTAGCATCCTCTGAGCACCAGCTAGGTTCCAGGCCCATATAAGACGGTTTCACAAATCACAGGCAACCTCACAAGAGCCCTATGTGATAAACATCACGATTCCCACTGTCTGGCAAGGAAGCCAAAGTTCAGAGAGGGTAGATGACTTGCCTGAGATCACACAGCTTGTAGGCTGTAAGGGTAGAATTTGCCATTTTACAGGGAGCCGTGATTAACTCAAAGCAATGCAGTAAATGGCAGGTCAGTACAGGGGCTGGGAGCACAGACCCTGGAACCATGCTGCCCAGCTCCACCTCTGGCTGGTTTTGGACTGGGTTTGCAGCCCAACTCCACCTCTGGCTGGTTTTAGACTGGGTTTACTGCCCAGCTCCACCTCTGGCTGGTTTTGGACTGGGTTTGCAGCCCAGCTCCACCTCTGACTGGTTTTGGACTGGGTTTGCAGCCCAGCTCCACCTCTGGCTGGTTTTGGACTGGGTTTGCAGCCCAGCTCCACCTCTGACTGGTTTTGGACTGGGTTTGCAGCCCAGCTCCACCTCTGGCTGGTTTTGGACTGGGTTTACTGCCCAGCTCCACCTCTGGCTGGTTTTGGACTGGGTTTGCAGCCCAGCTCCACCTCTGACTGGTTTTGGACTAGGTTTGCAGCCCAGCTCCACCTCTGGCTGGTTTTGAACTGGGTTTGCAGCCCAGCTCCACCTCTGACTGGTGGCAGGGACCTGTGCAAGTTACTTCACCCCAACGTGCCTCATCTGTAAAATGGAAATAATAATAATATTGGTTCCTAATTGTTATGGGTTAATTTTATGTGTCAGCTTGAGTGGGTTAAGGAAGAACCAGACAGCGGGTAAAATCTTCTTTCTGGGTGTATCTCTGAGGGTGTTTCTGGAAGAGATTACATTTGAATCAATGGTCTGAGTACAGAAGATCCAGCCTCACCAATGTGGGTGGACAACCCAGTGAAGGCCCAAATAGAACACAAACGAGCAGAGGAAGGGCAAATTTGTCCTCTCACCTTTCGTTCTCCCACCTTTGGATATCAGAACTTCAGTTTCTCCTGCCTTCAGACTCCGAGACTTACACAAGCACGCACATGAACATACACATATACACACACACACACATACACTGGCGGTTCTCAGGCATTCAGCCTCAGACTGAGAGTTATACTGAAACTGCCTTTGCAAAATTATGACTGAGACAGTGAAAGAGATCTGACTTAACCAACTTCATCTTGGTTCTCACCTTTAAGCTGTCCTTGTTCCTTCCTGGATATAGGCTGAACTAACTTTGGGAGAAACTTAGTTTATAACAAAACTTAGTTTATAACTTAGTTTAAAACAAAAAATGGTAACAGCCCCTCTCCAAAACAAACCTCCTTCTTGCCTGGGGACTAGGCCTTTGTAGGACTGACAAGATAGCCACAAGATAAGAAATGATGGTTTAGGAGTCATGGTGCTGGAGGCTACAGGATTCTGACCCTCCCTAAACTGCTCCTAAGGTCAGTGCTTGAGATACTTTGCATCAACTGTATCATTGCCACAACGGGTCTTGATGGAATAACTCCAGGGATGGAGAGTGCTCTCCCTTTCCAGGCAGCCCAGCCACGTTTCAGATAACCCTAATGGTTAGAAAATTCTTTTTTACAGTGATGTAACGTACCTCCCTGTAACTTAAAATCATAGGATATTACAAGATCCATCCTTTCACAAACAGAGTAGGGAAACTTGCCCAAGGCACTCAGTAACAGACTTTAGAGCTAAGATTTCAACTCACTTCTCACCGTTAGACTACAGATTCCTTACAGCACAGAGTTAAGCCTGGAAACCACTTCTGAGTCACTAAAAAAAAGTTACACAATGTACTGCTTCCCAAGACAGAAGTATGTAATACATTTAAGAAAAATCTTTACCCTCCAAAACTATTTTAAGTTTACATTTTCAATGTTCATAGGAGTAAAACTTCTGCTATTGGTAATCTCTCAAGAATGACTCGTTTGTTTTTTTTTTTTACAAGATAAAATACAAGACTTATTTTTTAAAAGGATGGAGGGGGCAGATAAATAGAGTAATTGATAGCCAGGGCTAAGAGGTCAGACAGACCTTGTTTTCCATCCTGGCTCCACCGCATAAGAAACATGAGAAGGTAGACAATTCTCTTCTCTAAGCCTCAGTTTTGTCATCTGTAAATGGGAATCACAATGGTCCCGATCTTCACCAGACGTGATGATCCGACACCGGGAAACCGAGCGCAGTCCTGCCGCCACGCCTCTGCTCAGTAGGTATCTGCCTTTTTATAACTGAACATGTACTAGACGGCTTTCTCTTGCCTTCCTTCCTTCTCCCTTCCTTACCTTCTCCCAAGTCGGCATAAAAATTATTTTCCGTTTCCTTGCCTCCAATTAGATATTGATTAGAGTATCTGATTGAGAATGAGCACTTAATAAAAGTAAATAAGTTCTGACATTTTATTTTTACTCTTGAATAAAAATGCTCACCATCCTCCTGAAAATGAGCCGTCACATTTTATTTAACAGCAGAAAAGATTTGTACATTTGGCCCTGCAGGAGCTGAGGAATCTATTTTCATTATAACAAACATTGATTTTGCATTAAAAAGTCTCATTATTTGAGATAATGACTGCTGGGCTCCTTAGTTATTCTTTTGGTTCCTAAATCATTAAAACTCTAACATTTAAAGAGCAAGTGGGACCACAGTGACTCCCAAATTATCGCCAATGAGTCACACCCCGTGTGCCCTAGTCACGGACAAGATTCAGGAGAGTGCGGTCCACCAAGGCACACGTGGTGAAGTCCAGTTCTTTCTCTTGCAGTTCCAGAATTCTAAATTCCAAACAGACTTGGTTTTTTTGTTTGTTTGTTTTTTACAACCATTTTACAAAACGAAAAGAAAGAGGGGGTGGGTAAAACCCTCTAGTCTCTGTGTTTATGTGCAATCAGTTCTTTGAACAAATTCTTCTAATCTTAAAGAAACTGGAAAGGAAGAAAGCAGAGTTCATCCCCAGGACTGGGAGTTGGTGGCATATTAGGTGATCACGGTGGTGGCAGAGGTGCCTGGTAGGCCTACCTTCCACCAGCAGCAGATAAATTATTGACTTCAGGAATATTCCTCAGCGGATGGTTTTCCACGGTTACACTCTCCCTGATCCAGGGCATTTATGCTGCATGAGACCCAGCTGGGCCCCTCATTGGCAAGCCACGTGTGACACAACTGAGTTTTGCAGAATTTCAACCACATGCACCACTTTGGATAATGTATTCTTTCAGATGCCAGGACTGAGCTTTAAACAAAACATAATCCTGCCTGCATATCAATTTCCCAGGACTGTAAGGAGGAAAAGGAAAAAAAAAAAAACCAGAACCGCGATGCTTTCAGCCACAGCATTTCCATTTGGGGTTTAGCAGTGGGGACATCCGAACAGTATGCACAGTCTCCCGGTTCATTAGGAGGAGCACAAGGAAGGAAGGGGGGAAGGTGGGGAGTGAATCATAAAATATGAAAGGAGTTCCCTGGAAATTGGCATCAATGTGATTTATTCAATTCAGACCTATGCTCGACTATTAAAAAATAATTGAATAGTTGATCCCCACTGCCACTTGTAAGTGACGGGAACATGGCTAGGAGTGGAATGAAGGAAGGTGCTGGGAGGAATTTGAGATGTTCCAGATCTCAGCCCTACCCAACCTCCTGAAAGGAAAAAGAACTCTCCCTGGACCCTGCCCTAACCACCAGTCACTTCTTATAGGATGCTCCCCACTCCATTCCTGTCCATGCAGACACAAGTTTCTGTAGAGTTGTAACCACCATATGTAAGCAATTTTGCATCCCACTGTCTATATTTGGCATTGGGTTCGAAGCATTTTCTCTTTGTAAAAATAATTGGTTTTAAAAACATTACATAAGCAATATACACTTATGGTAACAAATGCAAACTATGCAGAAATATAGGATATTAAAAGGGGAACATTGCCCCCTCCCCAAAGACACCCATTCCCTAAGATTGCCACTATTAACAGTGGAAGGCTCATCCTCCAGACATTTTTCTGTTTCTATAAACACACACACACACAGACACACACACAGACACACACGCACACACGTATGTATACTTTAAGACATTTTTACCAAAAAAAAAAAATTCTGTTTTGCAACTTTTTTCTGTAAAAATGTTGTGAAAATATTTCATGTCAGGATGTATAGAGACCCACTTCTACCTTTCGATCTACTTTATACATTCCATTGCTTATTTCACGTACCCCTCCATTGCCAGGCGATTAGAAGATTTCCAATATTTATCACACACAGTGCCACCATGCCACCATACATCCATACACATACATCTGTGCAAATGTTTCCGTAGAACTGATTCCCAGAAGTGAGAGTGCAGATCCGAGCATGTGACCCACGAGTGTTTCCCACGCTGTTCCAGGCATCCCAATTCTCACTTTTAATATCTGCGGAACAACCTTTTGAATCCAACTCAGCTGACTCGCATAGTGGAAGGGAAAACAAATCTGTTTCAAGCTCTCCTATCTGCAACTTCCTCCCTATAGAAAAGAAAAATAACTTGGTGAGCCTCTGAGGGTGTGAAATGGAAAGCGTCCACCCCAGGACATGGCCTGGAAAGAGATGGCAAGGCGAAGAGAGGGTGGAATTGCGTGTAGAATGTGGAGTTTCCCCAAAGATCTGGGAGAAATAGATGTGTGGGGAGTTTATGGAGAGAGAATGCCAGCAATATGGCAGAAAACTTAGGGTCCTGTGAAGGAATTCCAACAGCAAGAACTTCCCCAGTATGGGTTTTGGCTAAGGGACTTTTATATAGGGCCCAGATATAGGATCTTCACTTCAAAAGTGTTATTTGAACCACGCATAATCAGTAGTTCAAATGATTATGCTGGTGGGGGTTGAAGAAACAACTCTCTAGGAAAGGGCTGAAAGACCTTGATGTGCAGCATTTGCTGATTTCTGTGACATAAATACTCCTCCTGGCCAATCACAGTGACTCATGCTTGTAATCCCAGCACTTTGGCAGGCTGAGGTAGGTGGATCACCTGAGGTCAGGAGTTCAAGACCAGCCTGACCAACATGGTGAAACTCTGTCTACTAAAAATACAAAAATTAGCCAGGTGTGGTGGCATGCGCCTGTAATCCCAACTACTCAGGAGGCTGAGGCAAGAGGGTCGCTTGAACTCGGGAGGCGGAGGTTGCACTGAGCCGAGATCGTGCCACTGCCCTCCAGCCTGGGTGACAGCATGAGACGCCATCTCAAAATTTTTAATTAATTAATTAATTAGAAAATACTCCTCCCAAGGTGCAAGTCTGATGCAGGGTACTGAATATTCCATGATTGTCCTATAAACCATTGATAAAGCCCAACATCCCTGGGCCAGTGGACTCCCCGAGCAGAGGAAATCAGGCAGGGTCCAGCTTGGACTGAAGACATCAGCAAGTGAGGACAGGCACTACAGGATGCAGAAGGCACTTAGGCAGCCAGCGGCAGCGAACCTGATGAAAGGATGGTAAGCCTCCCTCGGGAATACTTAGAGGGGCTTCTACTGCATGGAAAGGGCTTGAGTTACCGCTTTTAAATGTGAAAGAATGACCCCAAAGGCCTGGAAAATGTGGGGACCCCTGGTGCCCCGTTTGGGGCAACTCTAGTGTTGCACACTTGAGCCTCCTGCACTAGCTGCTATTTCAGCGAATGCTGGGATGAACGCTTTCGCATGCGTTCAAAACTCTGCAAGCTAATCCTCAGCTCCTTCTCCACCCACCCCTTCCTCTTCCTGCCTGCAAAGTCTCTGTTCCACTACACCATAGCCCTTGCCAGTCCCTAGATACACACTGCATGCACCCAACTGCAGGCTTTGCCCAGCCTTCACTCTCCCTAAGCCACCCTCTTTCCCTCCATTTGGGTTAACCACCGCTACATCCATTCCTCAAGGCCCAGTTCAAAGGCTCCCTCCCCTACAAGCCTTCTCAGAAAGAATCTGTCTCCCTCGTCCTGAAGCCCCACAGTCTTTTGTTTAAATGGTTTCCAAACCGTTAGTTAATGGTCCAGAGAGCTCCATGGAGGAGGAGACCTGGAGCTCACTGTCTCCCTGTCCTCAGACAGCAGTTTCCACAAAGCTGATCCCGAGTCACCATCTAAGAAGCCTGTCATATACTCTGAGCCCTACCCCAGCATCTGGCAACATCTATGTGATGGACCCCTGAAAAGTAAAAGAATTGTCCTCATCACACAGGGAAAGAAGCTGGGTTCAGAGAGGCTTGGCACCTTGCTTTGTCACTCAGCAGCAGTGCTAGAGCTCAGGTCTTGCCCTTAAGCTCAACCTCATTTTCTCTGTCAGAGGAGGAGGGACCTGCAAATGATCTATCCCAAGTGCTTCCCCGCCTGGGGCCTCAGCCTCCTGGGGATTTGCAGGTTTATTTAGAGGAGACCTCGTGTTCATTGGCACTCAAAGGAAAGATGAGGCAACGCATGTCTCTTCACCTCTTTTTTGTTTTGTTTTTGGAGTTTTGGGGGTTTGGAGTTGTGTTATTGCTGTTCGTTTGTTGTTTTGTTTTGTTTTGTTTTTTACATTAAAAGAGGAACCACTGAGAAGTCCATCCACATTTTACTGATGATGACACTGAGGCCCAGAAAGGGTCAAGGACTTGGTCAAAGTTACACAGTGAATGTAGAAGCTTCATAATGTGTCAACTTAGCAAAGCTGGAACTGCGTGTCCTGGAATTTCCTTTCCTGAATGGTTCTGGGTTAGGAGTGACCACAGGAGAAACTTGTGTGAGATCCGGAAGGTGGAGCAGCAGCTTCGTTTGCCCCCAGGGTCTGGGTGGGTTCAGGTGATTCTCAGCTCATGAGTGTGCCGCCCACCTGCTGGTTCACCTTGTTGGCTTGGGATCTTGGAGGGGCAACCCCAGCTGATCTCCTCTTTCAGCTTCTCCAAACTCGGAGCCAGGTTTGTGTGCAGCTTCGTGGTGATGCAGGCTAGCTCTTCTGCAGATCACCCAAATCATCAGCTGGAGGCGTGGAGGCAGTGGGAGGCCACCCAGGGCCCAGGGAGAAGCAGATGCCGTCCCAGCAAGCCCTCGATTGGTGACGCTCCTCCTTGTGTGTTCAGACCATCCTTTTAGGTTCTGCCTTGTCCTTGCCACCTCCTCTTCCTGTCCATCTTCTCTTGCTGACTGACAGCCCTGCTGACTCCAGGTCTGGAGCAGACACGTGGATACAGACTGACACCACTGCCTAGCAGCTCCCCTGATCAGGAACGGCCATGCCCCAAGCATCAAGACCTCAAATCACGCACGTTCTGCTTCTCTAATAGAACCCTGATAAAACTGACCTCATGCAGAATCAACAGCCTGGAACTTCTTGTCCATGATGGCCTGAGCCCCAGGCCCCAGGCCTTCCCCAGTGAGATCACTGCCTCCATCACAGGGCTGAGGCTCCCAGATCTCCCCCAGCCCAGTGGCCAAGGGAGAGACGTGTCTGGCCTGTTCCCTAACTCATCAACATGATCTCTACAGGCTCCAGGGACCCCAGTCCTTCCTCCCTTCATATGGCCCCCAGCAGGCTGCAGAGCAGACAGCTCATCCTGGCTCCACATCTTCCCGTACCAGGCTGGGGTTGTTCAAGGCTGTTTATTTCTCCTGGTCCCCAAGCCCATAACTTCAGAGCTGCCTTGGCTGCCTGCTGTCCCAGGTCTCTATAAATAATCAGACAGTAAAGATGTCACACCGCCAGCTTGGGGCACCGTCCAAACAAGCCCAGGGCTGGCCCTTCCTCAGGGGCACCTCCACCAGCATGCTGAGCTGGGACTTACTACCCCTCACCCCACGCAGGGCTCCTGCATCTGCAGGAGGACAGTCTCCACACTGCAGCACTGAGCAAGGCTTTCAGGATCAACTGCTCCCTCCTGTCCTCACCAGGCCCTTCCTTCCTCTGGAAGGTCCCAGGTAGCCCAGGAGTTTCTCCCTTTTTGGAAGCTACTTCGGAGGAAAAGGTCACGGTGACACTGTGGAAACAGATGGATCTGGATTCCAGCGTCTCCACTGCCACTTACTAATTCTGGGACCTTGGAAAAGTCACATAACCTCTCTGGGCTTTAGGTTTTTATAAATGAGGATGTTAATATGAGCCTCATAGAAATGTTGTGAGGGTTAAATAGGGTGCCGTATGAAAGCATATAGCCCAGGATCTGGCATGTTATAAATGGACACAGTCTTGTTATTATTGTTCTTGGGGTTTTTTAACACTGTGGCCACCAAATTGCATGCTCCATGAGGATGGGGACTGCCTGACTTGTTTCCTGCGCTCCCTAGTACAGCGCCTAGCACATAATAGCACTCAACACCTACTTGCTAAATGAATGAAGAACGATAATAATGCTGACTGATTAGGGCCACTGTATGTTGTAAAGCAGGCAGGACTGGAGAACATTTGGAGATTCCAGGAGGTGAGGTTGCTAGAACCTTTTTTGTCAAATGTAACCATCTGTGTTCTCTTAAAGTGTTTATTTTTTCTTTCTTTTTTTTTTATTTGAGACAGAATTTCACTCATCACCCAGGCTGGAGTACAATGGCACAATCTCGGCTCACTGCAACCGTCCCAGGTTCAAGCAATTCTCCTGCCTCAGCCTCCTGAGTAGCTGAGATTTCAGGCGCCCACCACCACGCCCAGCTATTTTTTGTATTTTCAGTACAGACAGGGTTTCTCTGTATTGGTCAGGCTGGTCTCAAACTTCTGACCTCAGGTGATCTGCCTCCCGAAGTGCTGGGATTACACTCGTGAGCCACTGCGCCCACTCTGAGGCTTTTCTTTGACCACCTGCCGACTATTGCCCCACGGGCAGTGACTGCACTGGATGGTCACATGGCTAGTTAGTGCTGAAAGTAGGATTCAAACCCACCTATCGCTTATCATACACAGATCATATGCAGATCTCTTCTACTCTGTAAGGTGGCGATTAATCTCTTCATATACAGATAAGGAAGCTGAGGCTCGAGGAGGGTCAGTAACTTGCCCAAAGCCACACCGCTATTAGAGTAATCTTACATAGTATGTGAGCATTTGATTCTAAAACTGGTATATCAGGCAAAAGTTGCATAGAGTCCAAATTGCTCTTGAATTCCCTTAAATTGGCTCTCTGGTTTTCTTTGTATAGAGCCTAGTACAGTTTTACCTAAACACCCTTGAGTTTGAGAGCGGATGAGCTGGACTGAAGGAAGGACAAGAAGGAAAGCCTGGGAGACATCAAAACACAACATCATTCAACTGTTTGGCCCTTCCGATCACGATCGGCCCCCTGGCCCAAATGAAGCAGGAGAGGAGTTGTGAAGGATTCCTACCAGGCTCATTCAATTGCAATTTAATGTTAGTGCCCACTGGTCTTAATATATATGCATGGATGTCATTGTTAAGCCGATTGAATGTGTAACATATGACAAAGCACCTGCACTGTGACTTGCCTAGAGTAGGTGCTCGATATATGTGTGCAAAATTTGAATCTACAATCATTCATTCATTCATTCATTCAGTATGTATGTATCGCATTTCTCCTAGGGGCCAGGCACCATGCTAGGCCTCAGGGGAACAGCAGAGAACAAGACGGACAAGATATCTGCCCTTGTGGAAACAACATTCCAGTTGAGAAAACACAATGGGCAAGGAAACTACCAGGTATACAATAAAATGTCAGGTAGCGATGGAAAGAAAAATAAAAAGGGTGGGGGAAAGAGAGTGGTGGAGCAGCTCTTAGATAGGGCAGGGAGGGCATCTCTGTGGAGGTGGCGTCAGAGCCAAGAAGCGGTCTGGCCCGGACAAATCGCCCACGTGTGGACACCATTGTCTGAAAAGTCCAAAACCTGGTCACCTGCTTCCTGCCTTTCCAAATCCGCATTTTGTTTTGTGGCCTCTGCTGAGCAGCCATCACTGCCATACTGTTAGGTGCTGAGCTCGTGATTCCTTACAGTGGGAGGGCAGGGGTAAGAAGGGGCTGCTAATGTGACTCCTCTGTAAAAGGTGAGTCAAGCTCATGCCCATCCACCTGACTCCAGGGCCCCGGGTCTCTGTGCCACAACACAGCTTGGGTGCTAGAAGAAATCCCATGGTAGCTGTGGGGACGAGACACCACAAGACTTGATCCAGAATCCTCAGGGTTCTGAAGCCAGGAAGGGTCCTCAGACAAACCTAGCCACACCTATCACTTCACATTCACTAAGTCCTGCGGGGTAATCATCTCATTTGATTAACTCTCTGATGCTACAGGTAGCGAGACTGAAGTCCAGAGGCCATGGGACTCTCTGTGAACCACAGAGCATCAGCGGTGACAGAGATAAGGACTCAGCTCTCCCAACTCCCAGTCTGGTGCTCTTTATACCAAAAGTCCACCTTCCAGTTCATGGGTAATCCAAAACTTCTGTTTGTTCTGGGGTTGTTTCTACAGCAGATACACTAGTCTCTGTGCAGGACCCGCCTCCCAGGGAAATACGGTAGTGCTGAGAAGAGGGTGAGGACAGGCTGGGGGTGATGGCTCACACCTGTAATCCCAGCACTTTGGGAGGCCAAGGCAGGTGGATCACCTGAGGTCAGGAGTTCAAGACCAGCCTGACCAAGATGGTGAAACCCTGTCTTCTACTAAAAATATAAAACAGCTGGGCGTGGTGGTGGGCGCCTGTAGTCCCAGCTACTCAGGAGGCTGAAGCAGGAGAATCACTTGAATCTGGGAGGTGGAGGTGGCAGTGAACTGAGATCGTGCCATTGCACTCCATCCTGGGTCTCAGTCTCAAAAAAAAAAAAGAGGATGAGGATGGACCAAAGCCTGAAGATGCCCTGGAGATGAGGTGTGGATGGTGAGTGTGCCTGCCGAGCCCAGGAGACTGACTGACTGCAGCACCGGGCTGGGGTGAGGTCCAGAGGGGAGGAGCCTCCTATAGGGACAGCGACACCGAAGAGGGGACAACATAAAGCCACTTCTGTCTTTACCTCGCTTTGCCTTTGTACCACCTCCATTTGGGTGCAGTGCCAAGCACCTCACATTTTATTCCTAAGCCAGAAACTGCCTAGTGGGAGGAGAGAGAGGGGTGTTCTTTCATTCTGTAAGGGCCTCCCATGCGCCTGGTGCTGGGAACTTCTCCTTCCTCATTTTATTTCCTTCACGCAAAAACCTTGTAAGACGGCGATTCTCATCCCTGTATTACAGATGGGGCCCGAGGCTCAGTGTAGGGCAGACTGAGTAGCAGCCCCTTCCACCCTCTCACCCCAGGTCACCACTCAGAGGTGCAACTGAGATTCCAGCCCAGGCCTGCAGAGCAGAAGCCTGTGCTCTCTGAGGCATGGTCTCCCACGTGGCCAGCCGGAGGGCTCCTCCGGAAGGGTTTCCAGGGAGGCCACCGGGGCTGTCTGGATTGATAGCGCCTTCCCCAAATCCTGTAACCCCCTCCCTGCCAGACCTGTGCCCACTGCTCTGGCTGCAGGCAGGGAGCGGGGCTGGGCACTAATTTACACTTGTTTAACTACAGCTGCCGCCCTCCTGCCATGTGTCTATCCGCCATTTATTGCGCTTTCCAAAGCCCTGCCCGGCACTCAGGGGCATTTCCTGCCTTCGCTAATGGAGGAGAATAGACGCATTATATGTGAATAATGGATTATGATGATACAATTTGGGTCTCTTAGCTCTCACCCAGCCTAGGCTGGCCTTGCATTATTGATAACTTACACACACCTTCCCAAGCATGCTTATGTAAATATTTAATAGGGAAAGCAAGTTAACCCATTGGTTTCAGCCATTTCCAGAGCACTAGAAGGGCCATGAGGGGTGACTTGGGGGACCCCCAGCAGGAGTTAGGTCTCTTTGGAAAAGCCGGGAAGTTGACAAGATGCTCACTTGGTCACAAGGAGTGTATGGCCTTGAGGTTTGGGGTTTTCCAAGAGCCGAAACAAAAGGGTAGGGCTGCCTCGCCGTAGATCTCCTCCGATCAAGAAGACAAGTTGCCCCACACGCAGAGCATGGTGAGGATGTTGGGATGAGGGGTGCAGATTACCGGAATGCAGCTGTGGTGGGTGTCGCCACGGGATAAATCCAACCATTGCTTCTTCCACGGCTGATTTCCTGTGCTTTCCCACGGCTTCCACATTTCACACTCCATTGCACGTTGGAAGACAATGCTTTAGAGGCCACCTGGGGTTCACCCTGGGCTCCACCACACACCAGCTGGACAGCAAGTTACTTAATCTCTCTGTGCACTGGTTGTCACATCTGTAAAATGGAGAACTAATTTGTTTGTCTCAGAGGTACCCATTGTTGGTGCAAGAATTCAGTGAGAAAATATATCTGAAGGCCTTTTACTACCTATTACCATATAGCAGCAATTGGAAGACACACCTGCTTTCGCATGGCTCTTCATGCCACAGCACACATTAACAGACAGTGTTTCTTTTTTTTTTTCTTTTTGAGACAGACTCTCACCCTGTCACCCAGGCTGGAGTGCACTGGCGCGATCTTGGCTCACTGCAACCTTCACCTCTGGGGTTCAAGTGATTCTCCTGCCTCAGCCTCCTGAGTAGCTGGGATGACAGGCACATGTCACCACGCCTGGCTAATTTTTGTATTTTTAGTAGAGATGGGTTTTCACCATGTTGGTCAGGCTGGTCTCAAACTCCTGACCTTGTGATCCGCCCACCTCGGCCTCCCAAAGTGCTGGGATTACAGGCATAAGCCACCGCACCCGGCCAGTGTTTCTGAGTAGTGTAGAAAATAGTTACGCATCCCAGACACAATAAATATGGCTATTTTGCTAATAACCTGTTTCTGGCAATTAAACTACTATGTCTCCTTTGGGAAGTCACAAGGGTGGGCATGTGCCCCATCTGCCTATGCAGAGGGTGGAGAACCAGGCAGAATCGGGAGATCTGAGCTGGCCTCCCTCTGCACCCCACCCCGAGCACCTGCCTCCTCTCTAGTTTATCTCCCCCATCCCCTTCCCAGGTTGCCATTGACAACCTGCCATTCTCAGAGCACACTTCTGAGCTGGCGAGCCTTCGCACCTGCTGGCTCCTCCACCTGAATGCCCTTCTCTCCATCCTCTTCCTGGAAACCCCAACTGCTTCAGGATACGGTTTAGTCATTACCTCCTTCATTCGGCCTTCTCTGACTCTTTGTCTTAAAATTGAAAAGGCCAGCATGTTCTTCTACCTGCCCGCCAGACATGCAGGCCCAAGGTCGCGGGAGGCAGGCGCCAACAGATGTATCTCTGTATGCCCAGCACCTCCACCACACAGGGGCCGTGCTGGTTGCTGTGGGAATACTGCAGAGCACAAAATGAATGATGCTGAAGGGAGAAGACACAAGGCTCAAGAAGCAAACACAAGGCTCAAGAAACTCCGTTTGTGTGGAAGAAGAGGATATGTACAATGGAAGAGGGAGGCCACAATGCAGCGTGCCGGGGTGCGCTTTTAAATGGGACAGTCAAGGTAAGCCTCACTGCAAAGGTGACTTCTGAGCAGAAGTCTGAGGGAGGTGAGGAATGAAAAGAGTGAGCAGCCAGTATGAAGATCCAGGGTGGGAGTGTGCCCCAGTGTGTTCAAGGAAAGCACCAGGGTGGGCGTGGCTGGGACCAAGTAAGAGAAGCCGGTCTTGGCAAGCGGGAGTTTCAGGTAGCACAGAGTTTTGTGGCCTTGGCAAAGACCTTGCCTCTTGCTGTTGGAGGATTATAAGCAAGGGGTGACTGGGTCTAGTGTTTGTGTCTTAAAAGGATCATCCTGGCAGCTATGTGGAGCATTACTATAGGGGTCAAGTAATGCAGCAGGGACAGCAATCAGGAGGTTACTGCAAGAGTCCAGGTAAGATGTGATGATGCCTCATGCTAGGGTGGGAGCAGGGGAGGCAGTGGGAGATGGCCAGGTGCTCAGCTTCCAACAGAGGTGCAAGGTGGTGCTGTCCAGGTTTCCTGATGGTTTAGGTGTTTGAAGTGAAAGAAAGAGCAGAGTCCAAGGATGACTCCAAGCCGTCACCAGAAGGATGGAGCTGCCATGAACCAAGTGGGGAAGACTGTAGGAGCAGTGGGGAGCAGATTTGCAGAGGGGAAAATGAGGAATTCCATTTGGATGCATTATTAGACATATTCGATCTGATCTATCTCTTAAACATCCAAGGGGAGCGTTTCAGTGGTCAACTCTTGTAGGAACCTGGAGCTCCGGGAAGAGGGTCGAGGCTAGCATTAGAAATGTGAGAGCCATCAGCATACAGATGGACGAGCTCACAAGGGAGAGAGTGTAAGGAAGGAAGAGACACCGAGGCCTGAGCCCAGGGCGCTGCAAGGAGTAAGGTGGGGAGGGAGAAGAACCAGCAAAGGATGCACCCAAAGCGAAGACAGAAAACCCACTTGTTGATGCTTCAGTGAGTTGGCACTGTAATCAACAGTTCAAATTAAATAGCCACCATTAATTGAGTACTTACTCTTTGTTAGACAATTCACATATAGTTTTCCCTTTGATCCTAAGATTTGGGAATTCTTATTCCCATTTTACGGATAAGGAAACTGAGGCTCAGAAAGGTGAAGCTGCCTGAACAAGGTTTCACAGCTAGTTATGGCAGCACAGCAAAAAACTCAAGCTTCAAGTCAGCCCAACTAACATTTTTTTACCATCTGCTGAGAACTGGGTGCTCTTGGTAGATGTTATCCTATTTAACACTCTCAGTACTCTTGCAAAAATAGATGTCATTTCTACCCATTTTACAGATGAGGAGACTGAGGCTTGGAGTCTCACTGAGTGACCTACCCAAAAGTTATCCAAGGAGAAATTGGCTGGCAGAGATTTGAATCCTGGTCACCCGCCTTCCTTTAGACACTTGGGATGCTCCCAAGTCTGCATTTGGAGAGGGGAATAGTGTTAAGGTATCAGCTGTAGTTTCTCAGCTTGAAATCCTAGGCCTCTTCCAGAGGCCAGATGTTGGGCTGGTGCCACAGAGCCCTCCTCTGAGTCCTAGGCTGGGAGCAGGGAGGGAAGGGACTCTATTACCAAATCCCAGCCTGAGCACTCCCAGGGAGTTCCTTCCTCCCCACCTGCCTGGCGTCTGGCCTCCGCCAGCTCCTGCCTGGCTGCCAGATGTTCCAGCTGTGGCTCCTCTCCACAGAGAGTCTCATTTATTAATTAACGTGGACGCCAAGGGGGCAACATCTCAGGCCCAGCCTCAGAGCAGATCTTGGCATATTTTTCAGACTTTGTTTAATAATTTATCATCTTTTAATCATAAAAATAATTAGCACAAGAGCGATAATCTGTGCTCTACCAAGAGCAGACCAGCAGAGGAGTTTTCCGACAGTGCCAGACCCAGAGAGCAGAGCTTTGGCAGCGAGGAGAGGAAGGTCGGCTCCAGGCCAGGCGTCCTCTCCAGGACTGGCTTCTGGGAGTCAGGTGTCAACGATGCCGTCTGGCTTTTGGGGGAACTCGAGGACCACGCTGCTTTCCCAGGAATTTCAGGCTGCTGCTCCTAACTCTGATTTGGCTCACTGGAGAACTCTCTGGGAAGTTCCTTCTCTCTCTCCCATTTTGCCACCTGTAAAATTAGATAATGCATCAGGACAATTTTGTTCAAGGTGCCATGATCCAAGGAGGTAGCAAATGTAGAAGCAGTGGCTGGGGCGGTAAAGACAGTGATCTGGAGTGCCTGTGACAGCCATGAAGCCTTCCACAGTCCCTGCTGCAGCCCACGCCCACCTTCTGCATCCTCAGATGCTCAAAGAGCCCTGGGACAGATTCAATTCTGCCAGGTATAAGCTGTGTGGCCTGGGGCAAGTCCATCACCTCTCTGAGCCTCAGTTTACCCATCTGAAAAGAAAGAGTGATCGTTCATGGCCCGTAGCTCTCCCAGAGAAGATCCAAGGGAGCCAGGCACCATGGCTCAAGCCTGTAATCCCACCACTTTGGGAGGCCGAGGTGAGCGGATCACCTGAGGTCAAAAGTTTGAAACAAGCCTGGCCGACATGGTGAAATCCCTTCTCTACGAAAAATACAAAAATTACATGGGTGTGGTGGCATTTGCCTGTAATTTCAGCTATTTGGGAGGCCGAGGCAGGAGAATCACTTGAACTCAGGAGGTGGAGGTTGCAGTGAGCCGAGATCATACCACTGCACTCCAGCCCTCCAGCCTGGGCAACAGAGTGAGACTTCTTTTCAAAAAGAAAAGAAAAAAAAGAAGATCCAAGGGAGGGGATGACAGGGTTGTCCTTTGGAGACATTGATCTCGTTCTGCCCCATATTTAACTGCCACTCCCTGTCCAGACTGGGAGTTCTAGAGGGCAGGGCAGGACTGCCTCATCCTCTGTGCCTGACAGCCCTGGTAGTGACCGAATGAGCTAACTGTTCGGCCAATTCCAGAAACCTGTCCTGAGATTGTTCAACTGTGCAGGCAGGCACATCCTCTCCCCAGGGTGGCAGCAAGCTCCAGTGACTCTGGAGAAAACCACAGCAGTTGAAGAAGGCAACTCCTCTTCTTGTGGGGTCTTGTACAAGCTGCTTTGCCTCCAGCTGCCTCAGTCTCTTCATGTGAAACTTGAGATATCTGTCTTAGGTTGGGGGTCCTGAGAAGCAGACCTTGAGATAAGAATTCATGATCAGGTCATTTATTTAAGAAGAGATCCTGGAAGCTCCAGTAGGGAGTGGAGAGATGAGACTGGGAAGGGGAGGAGAGCAATGAAAGGTGGGTGAATGAGCTAGTGACCACACTGGGCCACTGGGACCCAGGCCCACTGGGGCCATCCCAACAGTTGGCAAACTACAGTCCACAGGCCAAATCAGCCCTGCCTGCTGAAGTTGTAAATAAAGTTTTATTGGAACACAGCCGTGCCCACTCATGTCTGTATTATCTATGGCTGCTTTTCTGCCACAATGACAGAGTTAAATGGTTGCAACAGACACCATATGGTCCTCCAAGCGTTGAATATTTACTCTCTGGCCCTTTACTGACAAATTTCGTCAGCCCCTGGTCTAGGGCATAGGCAGTACGACCTCAGAGTTGTCTCCTTTGAAGGAGAGGAAGCTGGGCATTGCACGCACCACTCCAGTCCATTGCTGGCTGCTCCAGGGAACCTGACACCCAGCCCCGTGCACATACACTCCCAGCGCCAGGAAAGCATACTCTGGCGGCCAGAGGAAGCCCAAGGAAGAGTCACAGGAGGTGCTGAGTGCTCAGGGGAAACTGGAGACCAGGGCATCCAGGGCTGCTGCTGCAAGATCTCACTAAACCGTTACGAGTAC